GTCTGTAAAAGTCACATGTGCATTGCTAGATGGTACATACTTAACTTTGAATTTCTAGAAAGAGCTTTCGTGAAGGCCACAAACCATACTCAATCACAAGGGTGGTCTTTTACATTCAGATACGGCAATAAAATGTCAACAACTAAATACGAATACGGATATTTTAAGAGTTTTCTCTTCTCAAAAAACATTCTCTGATGAGGCAGAAATCAGCCTGCAAACCAATAGAACGTCTCAATACAATTTATAAGTATTATGTACCTGGAATTATTTTTACGGATTGTGCATCACAAACAGACGGCGAATCTGCACAGAAATTTTATTCAGAAGCTTGTTTGAGGCGTCTATTACAAAACTGTGAAGTGCTCAGTGGACTTTATCATATAAACTTATTGTAAATGAACGCCTTTCAAAATTTCGTCAAGTTGACCTGTGAATGAACGCTAAGAAACTCATCTCAAGACATGTATCCGCCTGCCGAGCCAGAATTCTAAACGGTCGCGAAAAGCATAGTGACTGCTCTGGTTTCATCCACGTATGAATTAGTCGACACCTAGCGCCTTAGATAAATCAGATCACTACTTTTCGTCTTGTTACAAAAATAAATTTTCTACCATATTTCCCCTGTGCATCCAAGCTGGCTGACACTCAGTTCGCACGCATTTCGCACATGATTAAACTTTGCTGATTTTTCTACGCCTGTGTAGAGTACAATCTACCAGAACAGGTATGCTTTGTTTTTGTGAACTTTGATAAAAATAAATCAGCTTCAGCTACAACACAATAAATCACATTAAAAAATCTGGTTTGTATTCATCGTACTGATAGTTTTCCTCCTTCGTAACAGACTGTCCATCCTGCTGTAAAATGCGGGATGCAACCTACGCAAGGTTGCATTTGGGTGCACCATCCATCCACAGATGAATCAAAGGTTCTTTTTCCACTTAACTTCTGACAAGTCAACATAAAACTCTGTCCCCATAGTTTTCAAGTGCATCTATACGTACGTTCAAGGGCAGTTCCAAAGTTTCAATATGATTGGTGTTATTGCTTACAGTAAACCCCCCAGAATGCCATACGGGTTGGTTGATTATTTTTGCACGTAGCTAGATGTGCCGCTGAAAGTTCGAACGAAAAGTTCCAAGCCCGATAAAAAAAGGAATAAACAACTGTTTCTACCTATATAATTATTTACAATGTTAATTGCCACAAAATATCAAGGTGCTTACTATTCTCCTCATCTCTTTACTTGGCAGTTTGCAACTATCAAAAAAAAGTTCGTTGTCATCAGAATTTCCTATGGACTTTCACGGAAGAGATTCTGGTGAAACTTGTAGCATGAATTAAACATAGAAAAACTGTTTGCCACCAATGACAGGTTATAAGGCCTCATAGTATAATGCCGAAGTAAGAATGCCAAAACCTCATTACGCAAAGGCGACTTTTGAGCTTATGACAAGTATGATGTAAAGAGGCTATTTTGAAGGTCCGATTTAAGAATAAATTTCCAGAAACTGATCATATTTGAGTCTAACATTGTTGAGCAATACTTTTCTAAACATCCCGCGCAAGACTTAATTCCTTGCTATTCAACAATTGTCAGACTTATCACGAACTATTTTCAGCAGTGTATTATAGTCCTTTTTATTTTGTTCGTATATTTATTTTGACAAATAACCTATTATCAAATGAAACTCCTTAAAACACATTATTAGTTGCTGCTGTAAAAAAATTTTAAAGAATGGGAGGCTTAGAAGTGTAAATTGTCAAGTTCAATATTAAGTCAGATTGCAGTTTGCACTTTACACCAACTTTACACAACTTTACGTCCGACCTGGAGACATTATACTGAAGGTGCACCACTCGTCTAGCCTCACCCCGTTTTTTTCACGTGATACCCGGACGACCATCTTGATGTGGTTAATTGGAATGGCAGCAGGGTACAAACTACGTGGTACAAAAGCTTCTAATTAGAAAAGATTCAAATGTGATAGATAAGTTTGCACAAACCCATCCCGGAATCAGCCAGGCCCTTCGGATGGCATTAAATTGGAATTTTTTTGTTGAATTAAGCAAACGAATTATTTCGACAAATATACTCGTTTGCATACCAATTTGGTTTTGACGGCTAACTTGCTGAGAACCTAAATGAATTTCTCGTTTATAGTGTTCTTAAGCAATCAAATGTGCTGCGTTAAATCGCCTCATGTTTCAGTTTCGATATATCGTGATAGGTTGCGTGGACGTAATACACTACTCATAAAGCTGCTGAAAACTCCTCAACAGCCCTCGACCGGTTTTGTCCTCCCTGGTGTTCATCAGGTAGGTGCAGTTCCCAAGTTTCCGGGAGGAACTTGGACGGATTTTGACAAATACGTTCATTTACATATCAACATGTTTTTGACGGGAGACTTAGAACATCATAAAGGAGAGATTCAGCTTGTTTCCAGATGAGTCCCGTGTCAAGACCAAATTGATATGCGAATAAGTGTATTTATACAAACAAAGTATTCCTTTAGGTCCATGATAGATGAGCTAACATGATTCCCTAATTTAAAAGGCATGGGTCAGCAGGCAGTTTGCAATTCGCAGCGGAATCCCGAGGTATCTACCACTGGGCCATCCTGGCCCAATGTCAGCATGCGTTTCAGTAGGATAAGCGGTTTGTGACAGGAATACTGTCAAATTCACGTTACGGAATTACGTTCTGACCACTTTTACACCGGATCATAATTTGTGCTGGTCAAATTTATCACGAAAAATATTTTTTTCCGTTATTCAATACGTGTGAGCGAGGATTTGCCAGCAATGCGAAAAAACTCAAACATCGTCTCTTAGCTCTCGCCATACAAAGCTAAGTCATCGCATCATTTAACCCATTTAATAATTAAGTGTGAAAATAACTTGGAGATCCCAAACGATGATCAAATCTGCATATCACAGCGGTCAGAAGCTGAGAATTGAGTACTTTCATCGTGCCGTGAATTAAACAGAAGTACATTAGTAGGTTGTACTGTTCGGACAGAAAAAGAGTGGTCGATATCTCTTGAAAAGGAATATCAGTGGTCAGAAGCTGAGAAGTGAATATTTTCATCGTGCCGTAAATTAAACAGAAGTACACTAGTCGGTTGTACTGTTCGAACAGAACAATCAATAAAAAGTCAAATCTGCCCTAAAAGAGTGGTCGATATCTCCTGAAAAGGATTGAGTAAAAGACTGGAATATCAATTTTGATGAATGGTAGCTCTTCTCAATCTTGGAGCAAATCGCTGCCTGTAAAGATATATATATACTTAAACATCTACCAGTTTTTTCGTATTATCTGATACACATTTGTTCACCTTTACTCACTTGGTGTGCGAGTTGCCGATGGCAGTTCACATTCAGTGTTTGTACGAGATCTTTGCCAAACAGTCAATTCCGTTGTTAACAAGACAGTGTCTGTGTAAACTGGTAACTATTGAAAACGTCATTCTTTGTAGCATTGCAAAGCAAACCGTCCGGACGGATCGTACGGACTTAAAATTGTAAATATATTTGGAAATACCACACGGTACCCAGTAACAAAATAGCCCATAGTTTTGTCTGACTTCATCGCAAAACCACGCATTCCGGACAACGTTTCCCACTAAACGATTGTGAAAGTTGTGATATCCCAAATTAGTTGTTCCATTCCATTTGCGTTTAACTTTTCAGGTAATGAAAAATGGTCTGCTTGCTCTGGACGGCGACGCATTAAAAAGCTTATCAACGAACTATCCAGAACAAACGGCGTCATCCGGGCAACGTTTACACGACCTGAATGAACGATTCCTGAGCACATTCAGCTCCGTGAATGATGGCCCTTCTGGCATGGTAACTGTTAGGTAGGTAATAAAGGATTCAGAACTCATGGACAATACTTGTATTTCACCGCTTATATTGGGCCCATAACACAGAGGATTATGTTTGAATTGCTACAAACTTCTGTTTTATTCTTCGAAGCAGTTTAAAATAGATAGATATTGCACCGTCCCTCCGATATATTTAGACGATTCCAGGCCCTTTTTACCCTCAGAAATGAATGACGGAGAACATAAGTTACGATAAACAGGAATGATAATGGGGAAGCATTTTAGGTTAGCTGCAATTCAGTAAACGTTCACCTCAGTTAGATCACGTTCTTTGTGACTGCGTTTATTTTTGTCGCATGAATTTGCTGGTACTGATCCTCAGGATTTAAAGCAGTATTGGGCATTTTCCATTATCGGGTACAATAGTGCCCAACTATTGCTGAGCGGATCGAAATTTCTGGGAATTTGACAAGTTTCAAAACAAAGCTGGACGTTTATTTCTTGCGAACATGTTTGCATTAAAATATTCCTATCTTTCACAGTGCTTGACTAACTTTTACGCAAGCATACCTAGCTGCGCTGTAGCACCGTGCCAGAAAAATCACCGATAATGCTGAAACGGCGTTGGGTTGTCCCAACGTTAGTACTTTCGATGAGAATCCCGTCCTGCTATGGCGAAAAGCTGAGGAACGCTGTGCGAATTATCCAACGTTATATGGAATCGTTAGTGGTACGCACCTTATGAAACACTAGCAAGTTTCGAAACCCCTACCTCGCTACCAGTTGTCGGAGGCTAAATTGTTCGACCACAGGCAGCTTATCACTTGCGTAGTTAACACACCTTTGAACAAGACCGACACTCATTCTTCATTTATTGAGTTTACACTGCGTAATCACTGGTTGACTGGCCGCTTGACTGATGGCTCCACAGGTGAAAGTTTCATTTGTGTAAATTCCTCTCCTCCTGAGCCACTAACAGTGCGTTTGTAGCTTAAGGTGCTGAAATTTTAGTGAGGTTTCCTCCCCGCAATTAAAACTAGTTGACACTAAAAATCTGAGGAAAAGCTGTTTCAAAATACTCCGACGAAATCACAAAATGGTGCGACGATAGTTTTACCATAAACTTACCTACGTAAGATCTACAGAGTTCTGAGTACGTTTTCGAGAACGGAAAAAATGGTTTTGCAGGGCTTTCTGGACTACCATTACTTGACCTTCTGCTGATGAAAGAAATGATATTAAATTATGCGTTTACCACAGTGACCGGCATATACTGATCAGACAAAGTCTTTTAGTGCAAACTGAAAAAATACAGCAAGATGAGCAAAAATCTATTCGTTAGCACTTTATTAAGAGTGTAGTTGGATCGCTTGTATCGAGTGCTTGTTATCTCCTTCGGGTGTACAAGTTTTAAACTACCTAGCTGTCATTTTGGAAAGCTTATTGTAAGCCCTCATTTTTGGGCTCCATTTAAAGGTTTCACTTGATGGTGAAAGACTTTTTTGAGTGCATAAATGGTTCAAAATGACATACAAATTTTGCGAGTTATTCACTCATTTTTCTATATTTAAATAGGCACTAACAATACCAGTTAACATTGTGGTCTTTGAGTGCCCAGGTGACGTTCTTGTGTGTGGGAGAGTTGGATAAAACGGTTTCAGGGTGCCAACAGAGTTGGAATTGATCGGTTGCGACAGCCTCCTGAGTAACCTGGTTTTGTTTCCTTATTGACATGAAATACCTGAAACTCGCATGGCTACCAATCCCCACTGAATGGCCACCCATTTTGCCGCGCCACCTTCTTGAATTGTAATGCTGAAATCTGCGACATTTCTCTCCATTTCCAGAGAGGTCCAGGTCACCAAGCCTGACAATCTAGGGTGTGTCAATGCGATACAACTTGCACGCGTTCATCGGCTAATATCGGTTGGCCATCCCGACGAGAATCACTTCACGGCAAACTCACTTGTGGCGATTTTCTGGGAAAATATGACCAATAGCATCTACGGTGACTCGAAGGTTAGTTTACGTTAACCAACACCATTTGTTCTATGGAGTTTTGTCACGTCGTGTTTGGATGTAGGCCAATGGTAAATCAACAAATGCATTAAAAACATGCTTGTTCCATACATAGTTGGTTGAATTTTAACCGTTATAATATAATTTGATACTGTAAACTGGTTAATCAAAGTTGCTTTGCTAGTGCTTGATAATAAATGACTTTTGGGGTTTGGTGATATCATCCACCTGGCTTTCATTACCGCAGTTCTGAAAACAGAAGAACTCGTGCAACAAATTTATCGCAATATTAAGTTCAGTTTGTCCACACTTGGTGAGAAACTTTACCTTATAATGGTGCGATTGAAAACCTCAGCAGCCCACTTAGTTATGCTGTTGCAAGCTCCACCTGCTAGGTCGGTCCGTAAATGATGATTTGTGAAACAAACTTTCTTTGCCATCCAGGTTGAGAGTTGGAACATCTACACTGAACTGCTTTTTAAAATCTAAAATAACCTGGCATCTTTGAGCCAACCACCACAGTCTTCTAATCATGCTTTTGAGCAAACGATTCCAGTTACATTCGGAAGCTGTGACATTATATTATATTTTATATGTATTATATATTATATCATCATATATAAGACCATGAAATGCACTAGCAAACCTGTCTTCATGTCTCGTAGAAATCTGCTGAATCACTTTATTCGCTGCAGGATGGCTTACAGCGTGCTATCATTTGACGTAGATTTTCCTCAAATTTACTTGATAGGCTTGGGGAGGCTTTGCAGTAAAAACGCTCTCTGGACAATTAAAAAACCAATCCGTCATTATGTGTGATTTACCTCCTTGGAGAACATTGGCAGTTACTGAAGAGAACTAATTACGGTTACACAAAATGCTGGTACTTCTGCTTCTGGTGTTACCATTGAGTGAACAGAAGTAGCTACTGGGGTGGTTGAAGGAAACGTCATTTCTTGATGTATTAAACTATGTGCCGCCGTGCAGAGAGCAAACTGTAGTTTCGTCACCTCCAGAGTCGATTACAGTACAGTGGAAAGGGGTGGTGCAGATGGATGTGTTATATGGTGTTTAGATGAGTACGTTTAACAGGATCAGAAGACTCTCCATTAGTGAGACAACCAAATAACAATGCGGAAACGCAATATTCGATAAGCGCTGGCATTCAGATCAATAGGTGATATATTTTCAGCAACAATTTAGTTGCCTCTGTGACAAGTATCTGTGTCACTCATTTGATCCAATGAAATTAATCCTTTTAGACTTTTCACCAGTTCGTGAATGGTTTACAGGCAACCTGATCATTTAGCTTCCCTTTGAATTATTCAAAGTCGTTTGTAAATCCCTCTGATCTTCCTTGTATTAGTCGTTGTGAATGAAAAGAAGAACGAAACATAAAGTAAAGTACTGATAGCCCCACAACCATCACAACAGGATTACTAGCTTCCCTAAAAGCGTGAGACAAAATTTGAGTGTAATATACGTTATTTTGATCAACTAGCGGGAACATTGATCATGCGCCAAATGGTTAGGCAGTGTCATGTGTACCACCGACCAACAATGACCTCCTTGGCTTGAAAGAGGTTTCTGAGAGTGCAGATTGCATAACAAATGAGAAGATACCCGGGTAAAATAAAACACACTGGTAATTTGGCGGTCTGGTAGGTGCTTTGTATTTCAGCAATTTTGTTCGTGCGAGCCATCTAAGAGATTCACCCGAATGTTCTACGATCATCAAAGCCGACTCCTACCGCCATGTCACTGTTCTCACTTATACAGTGATGAAACGCACATACCGAGAGGTCGGAGAATCTAGAAAACAAAATTGTATCTAAGAGAACGTTAGGACACTTGAATCACGCAAACGACAGCACTTCGTACTACCAAAAACAACAGTCCGTACAACATAATATAGATATGTAGAAAGTGGGTCCTCTTCCTGAAATTCGTTTTACACCTTCGTATTCCAAAGCCTCACTCCAAGATTATCAGGAAGGTCAGATTCCTGAAAGTGACCTCAGAACGCCCGAAACATACTGCTCCACCAAAATCTCAACAGGAAAGCCGGCAAGCATCCAGACCAGTCAATCATTCGATCAATTCAGCGAAAGCCGATGAGTGTTCATGCACGCCATAGAAGCACGACCGAATTTGATCAGCGTTCAGGCAATTTCATAGAGCACGATCGATGTTGATGGGTTTTCACTAACGCCCAATAGCCAGCCTGGATCAATGTCATATAGTCCCCTTTAACTAGCGTGGGGACGTTGTAACTCTTGCACTCGTTTGTTCGGAATATGGCTGTTGTGTTCCCTCCTGTGAGACTTTTTTCCGACAACTAGGCACTGGAGCACGTCAACAGCAGATACCACAGATTGGCGAATCAGCAGATATAACAAAGATGTTTTACCCGCTGAGCAAGTTTGAAACTTCACGCTGAAGCTACTGTAGCTATTGGACTTACTGACTTTATCAACCTTTTTTTGACGTACAGGATGAACTAATTACACCAGTTAGCAAAACTCAACTGACATTTGCCAAATAGTTGCACAAGCTGAAGAGTCAAGGAAGCAGTGAAACTGAAAACCGTCTTCATAGCTTCGGAGTTTCTCCTGGCGATCTGACGACACTGAATCATTCATAAACCTTGATGATCACTTACCTCTTAGCGCGGCAGGATTTAGCTGGCCGCAGTGTGTATCAACGAAGTGTTCCGTGAGTTAGTACTCGATGAAGAAGCAAACTCGGCGTAATAACAAATGTGACTCTCGGGCTATGATGTTTAGGACACACACTAAGAATGCGAAAGGGCCGTCTTGCAAAACAAATCATGGTTTGCAATCAAAATCCCATGTGACAAATCTTCGGAACAAACGGATTATGCTGTGGTTGTGTGAAGTAAAAGCGGTCACATTAATTTCGGATGCCGTGGAATTTTTACTACCTTCCTAGTGTAAGGTCATGTGATCCTGCTCCCAAGTGGTTTGACTTCTATCAGCGAATGGTATTTAATCCAACCAAGTAAGGTTCATACTGCCACCTTCTAATCGGGCTGCATGACGAAGGCTTTCCTGTCTGTGTGTGCTGGATTCTTGCTGATTGAATTCGCTAGGTGACGTTTGGGCAACCCTACTGATGGTGTTCAACATTGGCAGGGGGTCCACCAAGGTCAATATCCGTTTTCTTCCAGAACGAGGACACCTTTCCAGGTTATCTTTCCTTTCGCCAGTTCCTCTATTCTTCTTTTATTTTCAACTCCGTAACCACACATTATTTCCTCTTGGTTGTATGACAGCTAGGCAAAGATTTTAGTGTTGTAGTGATGATGATGATGTTTCGATTAATTTACAGTGCTGATCAAAGTTTCTTTGATGATATGCCTTGCGGCATAGCATGCAGGAAGTATTTATAATAGATTTTACTCCGTCGAAATTGATTACGTTAATTTTTCTCCCATTGATTGCAGCTTAACAACATCTCCATATTCAGGGCGTTGAAGCAGAAAAACATATAATATTGATGGTCTGTACCACGTGGTGAAAGATTTTCCCACGATCGCGTAAACATTAGGGACCGGTGTGCTTTTGGTCGGAATTTCAATGCCACGAAAATGGGGTGCAGCTACAATTTGATTCGGCATTTCTAAAAAACGAGGAATACTGATGGCAAAGAAACTAAACAGCTTCCATCGATTACCGTGAAAAACATCCATATGAATTGTACAGCATGCCTGGCTATTTTGATAACGACACCAACACCTAGGAACATAAAAGGTGCATAACGGTGGACACAACGGCAAACATCATTACTGTTCATTTATGGTGCGAATGGTTCATGCCGGTGCAGTTTCATTTTCTCCGACTGAACGTGAGGAAATAAAAGCGATTTTGTGTCTGGTGAAATCCAGTGGATCTAAAAATATCACACTGATTGTTGCAGCCTTTCTGTTGTAGGTAGATGATACCTGATGCGATCATACGGGTAGATGTAAGCTGAGTGTTGTCTTCATCACATTCGTCTTAATATGAGACAACTGTATCGAATTCGGTTGGAGGTTGTTTTATAAATTTGCCTGCAATTAGGTTAGCGTGTCTAATGTGGATTGGTTTGCTTACGAATCTGTTCTTTCAAACGTAACTCGTGTTTTGTTACATTTCACCATATTCTGAACCCAACCGAAGCCAATATAAGCGTGTTTGGGCGCTTTGCTTCGAGGGTATCCACGAAGCAGTATCACTCTTCTCACTATGCACCCTTCGGTTGTACGCAAACGAAGGATGGTGAAATAGTTAGTAAAAAAAATGCAGTTTCGGAAGTCTTAAAATGCGATGTCCACTAAAATTCCAAGCTATCAGGTTAAAAAAAGCCAGATTTTTAATAAAGTACTTTTTGAGCAGACACATTATAACTACGGATCACCCGTTATTCCCATTCGGCTGACTTGAAATAGCTTCCTGTTAGTGAAGACACCCAAGACCGGAGAACACTGTACAACTGTTTCATCAACGGCAGCGAACATCTCACGGATCTCCATGGACAAGTGAACCCGGCTGTTAGTTGTTAACTAAATCGTTCAGCTACGAGCCGCGGAATGATGCCTTCCTCGATGGAAGGTTCATTTGTCGGGTACATTACTCCCCATTCCTCAGGAACTACCCATGATTATTAGTAAGAATGAAATCAGCAACAAATTTGAGGCTCAGTATACTTGGTACCCAGCTTTTAGGGTGCATTTATTTTTTGAACCATGCGGACTCTCCACAGAAGTTTGTTTGGTTTGTAAAGCTAACTAAAATTCCATCTGCATAATGTATGAATAACCAGCTTCTGGATTGACGGATATCACGCCACACAAAATACAAAGACCGAATGATGGATTCTGAAGCGCCATGCCTATTTTGCTGAATGAGTAATTTACAACTCCGCAGCCATACGTTCTTGCATTTCAGTGCAAAAAAAATTTCAAGTTCTCGTCACTTATCTTAAGAATGAATCTACAT